AATCCGTGCATCGTCAGCAGATCGAGAAGGAAGCACCCGTGTTCCACGACGCCAGCTGTTGGCCCGTCGAGAGACTTGTGAAGCAGATCGTCGACGATGGGATCCACATCCTTGTCAATCTCAACGGCTACACACGGGGAGCGCGCAACGAGGTGTTTGCTGCACGGCCTGCCCCAATACATATGTCTTTCATGGGTTTTGCAGGGACACTGGGCGCCGAGTGGTGTGATTATATTCTTGCAGATGAGATCTCCGTTCCTGTCGATACGCTTGGTCCCGGAAGGCGTAACGCCCGTATTGAGGATCGACTCTTGGAGCAGGATCACGGCGAGGAGCTCGAGGACTGGGTGTATGGCGAGAAGATTGTCTATACTCGCGATACATTCTTCTGCTGCGACCATCGGCAAAGCGCTCCCGACGCGAAAGATGCGCGCATCACCTGGGAGCAGGAGCAGGAGCGGCGATGGCGAATGCGGAAAGAGCTGTTCCCAAATCTCAGCGATGACACGATCATCCTCGGCAATTTCAACCAACTGTACAAGGTGAGGATTGTCTTTATGATTATATTTGATGTGAGTATGCTAAGCCCTTTCATTCAGATTGAGCCAACAACGTTCCGTACATGGCTTCGTATACTGGCGCGCATTCCCAACGCGGTTCTGTGGCTGCTTCGCTTCCCGGACTTGGGTGAACAGAACCTCCGGGAGACAGCCATCGCGTGGGCTGGCCGGGAGACAGCATCCCGGATTATTTTTACGGATGTGGCTCCGAAGAACGCTCACATCGCTCGGGCGAAGATCCTGGACCTGTTCCTAGATACGCCGGAGTGTAATGCACACACGACTGCGACAGACGTGTTGTGGAGTGGCACACCACTGCTCACATATCCCCGCTACAAGTACAAAATGTGTTCTCGGATGGCGAGCAGTATCCTTAGCAGCGCGCTACCGGACTCTGACGCTGGCCGCAAGGCCCGTGATGAGTTGACGGCAGTATCTGACGAAGACTACGAGGGCAAGGCCATCCGCCTTTGTCTCAGTCTCCAGTACAGCCCCGGGTGTGGCGGTCGAGCGCGAGGCCGGCTATTCGACCTCCGCCGGATGCTGTTTGAGGAGCGAATGGGGAGCCGTCTGTTTGATACCAAACGCTGGGTTCATGATTTAGAGAATGCTTATGATCAAGTCTGGAAACGATGGGTGAATGGCGAAGAAGGTGATATCTGGTTATGATGTACGCATCGGAATATACCCCTTGAGCGTTCTGTTTCTGTCTTTTTATTGTTAATTCCCTGTCATATGTAGCCCCTATGCGCGTTTATATTGGTGATTTCTGTGATCTAGAGGTGTGGAACCTGGGTATTCTGGTCTCCTCGGATCTACTGTGTTTCTTTCTTGTCTTGATTTTGCATGGGAATCTCCGGTGATCCGTGGTGTGCATACTGGCGTTGGATCTTTTCTAGCAATGAATCTCCATGACATTGCTGCGCAAGCAGCCTGGGTTGGCCATATCACTTCTCCGCAGTAGCAGTGCAAGATACGTATTCGACTATGAAATGCGGATTTCACCCCTACAATATGTAGAAATCAAACATTTCGAGCCTCATGCAGGGTATACTGTCCATCACATCCTGAGTTTGACTCCAGCTGAATGCAGCTTAAGTCAGCCACTGCTAACTCAACTATAATCGACAGTGTAACAGTTGCATATCTACTACTATTCACTAGGCATTACCAGTGCTTCCTGATGGAAACCTACCAGAGGGTTATTAACTACTCTATTTATGAATGTTGCTTGTTTTAGCATACATCATGCTTAAGATTGTAATGATGAAGAGTGCAGTACACGCCCTACTAATTTTATGCAGGAATAGGAATAGAAGAGTGATTCTGAGTAATCCTTGGAGCCTTATGCTAGGAGTATGAGTACTACTTATGTTCCTCATCTAGATGAGACCTGGAGGACAGGAGCATGATGTTGACACCGAGCTTATCTAGTAGAGTATAGGTAATAAAGAGACTAAAAGTCTTTATGAGACTAAGTTGTTGATATAGATGATACTTGGAAGTAGTGTATTCCTTCTTGTATGCTTCTCTCGCTCAGGCAGACCGGGTTAGAATCGGGAATGGGGAGCCTTGCTTAAGTCCGACTATGACAGCTATTGTGTCCATGAGCTGAGGTTATTGGATCTCCCAGCCTCTCTCCCGCAGCAGGTGACTATACGTTGCGCAGGTCAGTGACCTTTCTCACTAATTCCAAATGGAAAGGACCACATGTGTGCATGTGTGCACAGGCTCCCGATCCTTCTATTCAGGATGTCTCATTATTAGCTAATGTAGTCAAGGTAGCTTCATTCCTTCACAAGGCATATAGTGTTCTCCTCAATCTTCCTTCACTAGGCATATACTGTTCTTCTCAATCTGCTCCGTGTCCTTCTCACAAGCCACCGCCTCCTCCTTGGCTCGTTCACGCCGGTGGTGCTGAGCCTCTGGTAAGTTCATAAGCCACGGACCAGTCTCAGCAATGATCTGATCCGCCAATTCTTGGGGAAGTGGATGGGCTGACGATAGATGGGATCGTGCTTCCTGTTCCCACCAATCGAGACGCTGGGGGGGCACATTTCGCGTCGAACAGATGCGGTAGGAAGGATCAACGAGCCACAGGGTCAAAAAGCGACAGCGTCCAGGTCGAGCTTTGTCCACCAATTCAAACGATTCAAGGCGGTGGCGTAGGCAGTTTGGAAAAGCGATCAGACCTCCTTGACGTATGGACACAGACCCGAGTTCTTGAAACGCTGGTTTCTCATTCTGAACACCGAACAATTTCTCTAGGTACGGAATGTCCCAACCATCCCAACTAAACGAGAACTCCTCGCCATCCATGGAAATCTCTTGAGCGAAGGAGATGCGGGTATTCGTCACGTTTTCAAGATCAAAGCAATACAAGGCTACCCCCGCGATATGCTCATTCACCAGACCGTCCACGTGCCAATCCTCGCCCAAGAAGGACGGATTATCAGGAGTGAGCTCAATGCCCCCCAGCTTGACAATAATCTGTAGCCCCTTTTCGCGGAACTCGTCCTGGAGTTTCACAGTCTGGAACTGATGATCGATCTCGTCTTTTGCTCTCAACATCTCATAATGGACCATTGGATCCATGATTTGGTCGCGGTTCCGCCAGAGTTCCGTGAAGCGATCAACGTTGTCGTAATCCTGACGACCGACGATTGCCCGGGCCGTTCGTCCTGCCCTCCAGTCTTCGTAGGAATAGGTGGTGCCAGGCTCGGAATGCTGGAAACGAAACATGCGACTGTATTTGATATTCACAACTTCACGCAAGGATAATGTTGCCTCCCAGTCTGCGGGGATTTCGCGTGTTGTATTGTACCACCATTGCACCTTTACTCCATACTCTGGTAAAGAGAGGTACTCCTTGACGCGAGCAAGCGCCCGCTGGTAATCCTCAGTTGACCTATCGACGTCCAGCGTGGTCGGGAGCTCCTCAGCCCATGGAGGATAACGATTATCCCACTCGACCCCGAATGTGCGGATTCGCATGGGCTCCCGACCCACATAGTCCCGTGACCTCTCCTCCCCAATCCTAATCAGAATCTCGTTCCATGGCTTAACAACTTTGGATATCACACCTTCCAGCGTCCTGTAGAATGGCCGCTGCTCACGGGGGTGAAGATTGTTGATGTAGGAAGTAATCCGCACGTCTGTCGACCCAGCCGGCCCACAGAATTCAACCTCGCAAGGCAGCCATTGATAGCGCAGTGAGTAGATGTACTTTTCAATTTCCCAGTCGTGTCTGTCTTCATGGAGCGGCGGCGGTGCCTCTCCTTGCCCATAAGTGTCCAGAGTCTGCTCAAGCGGAACACTGCCGCCACTGATCAGCACTCTGGTGCGTTCGCGAGTCAGCGGGTACAGCGAGGGGTCAATCAGGTTCCAAACCTGCTGGTTTGAACTTGGTTCCCAGTCCATCTGCCCGGCACGCTCCTTCAATGCGGAAGCGACGAAGTCCTGGATCTCCGCGGTCACTGCAGGAGGAATGACATTGTTTGATTTACACACGCCGCTGGCAGCGTTCAGAACCACAATTAGGCCAGTCTCCTGCCATCGCTGCGCTTTGTCACGCAGCTCAGCCGCGCACCATTCCCATGCCTTGGGGCTGATCAATGGAAATTGCGCCATGGCCTCGCTTCGCCAAGTCTGCATAGTAGAAACGTCAGAGACCAACTCCTCCCAGCCTGGTCGATCAGTCAAGGAGTTCATCAGCCTCAGCATTTCCAGTTCGCGGGCGGTGAAAGGCGACGGAAACCAGGGATATAGATCAGAGCCTATAAATCTTTCGTTTGATAATGTTGTGACATCAAAGGGAACTCCATTGAATCCTGGCACCATCAAGGGTCCATCGCCTGTATTGTTGAACTCGACCTCGTCACTCATCATGCAGATCGCTTTACTGAAGGCAGCTGAGAGAGGAGATTTGTGAGGGGCGACTCAACAAAAATCTATCAAGATGTAAGGCGCGAGGGTTGATAAGGGGGCCATGAGGACACCTGGAAATTAATATTCTCTTCGGGTGGAGCCCGACGAGGCGAGGCAAGCAACAGGTGGATGGCCGTAACCGTCTGTAATTAAATTACATTTCGCTCGTCCACAAATTGAATCCGTAATCACAGGATAATTGCAGATTGATCTCTGGATCCGAGATGCTAGTCCTTCCATCAGAGATTTGTTCAAATCGTTGATTTTGTGATGGTAGCAGCATTTGATGAGCTGTTGGTTGGATGCAAAGAGAGAAGGAGTGAGAGGAGAAGAGAAGAAGAAAAGAAGGAGGAAAACCACGCCTTGGCACGTGAGTAGCCAATCCATAAAGTCTTTCTTATATTTTGTCTGATCTGTACACTTTTTACTCTGAGAAGAAACAATGAAAGGCTCCTATATACATGTATTCCACTGGGACTGTCACACCGATCTACTGCCATCCAGAGTCGAGTCTCAGCATTTTCCACCCTTTTCTATTTTTTGCAATAGTTTCAAGGTGTTCTTCGCTCGGAAAATCACAGCCTGGTGCCTCTTGAAGGTATTAAGCTCCTCATTATTCTTAATCTTCTCTTTATAATTTGGTGAACGTATCTTTATAACGAGCTCCTGCATCTTGGCTGCGAGACCATCAGCTTGCGCGTTGATCTTTGCCTTCTTCTCTGGATCGGCCTCGTTTTTCGCCGACTTTTCCAGTTGCTCGACTGTCTTTGCTGTATCGTAGGCTTGATACGAGAAACCATCAGGGGTTTTCGGATTCGGATCCTGAAGTGCAAGCTTCTCGATCCCTAACTCTTGCTTGAGCTCCGCGATAAAGTATTTCATGTTGTTGGCGATGCGATGTTTCTGGATGAGATCTAGCGCGTCTGCCATAGGCTTTCTGTGCTCCGCGACCTTGTCAGAACCTAGCTGATCCCTGATCAGCCCATCTATCTTTTCGAAGATAGGACCAAATTGTGATGATTTGCTTGTGCCCTCGAGAAGTTGCGAGAAATCATATTTAGGGTCAAAGTTCTTCTCCCTTAGTCTCCGAGATGTAGTTATGACATCGGTCGTATCAGCTGTCTCGATGATTGTTCTGATTGCTGTGAATTTTGAGTCCTGGGAGATTTTCCTCCATGAGTCTTGCGACAAAATATGCCTCAGAAATGCTGGGTATGTGCAGGGAGTATCAGTCTTTGAGCATGTTTTTGCAATTGTTCGCCGTTTGGAATCCCTTGTCTTGAATTCGACCAGATAGGCTTGGTAAAAGTAGAGCGTCTCCGAGGGTTTGGATTCTTTGAGGGCCACAACGGCCTTGCTCAGAAACAGAAGAGACGAGAGGAGAAAGAAAAGAAGGTATTTCATGACTGTAGCTGGATGATTCCACTCATAAAGTTATAATGACTGCAATGAATAAATGGAACTTGGAAGGACAACGACGGGGAAGTGCCCATATGTAGCAGCATAGACCTTGTTATATACCACGCTTGATATCAGATATGCAATACTTCAATAGTCTTACTGGTCACTGATGGACCAGATCTGTTCTGTTACCAAGCAAGCAAGACCATCGCATTAAGTAACGAGAACAGTTTGGCGAGAGATACTGAGGTTTAGCCGAACTAAGATCCCTGTAATATGCTCCATGTATCATTCAATACAGACATATCCCTTTTTCGGATAATTTCCTATCCTCCAACTAGAGACCATCCTAGCGTTCGACCGTTTGAAAAAGTGCTGTGGGGTTCTCAAACAACACTATCACTACTACCAAGAGATGTAGCAATAAAAGGGATATGCTCGGTCCGTTCCGACGGAGATATCGGAGAGCAGTAAGATAGAATCCACGACTGTCCGTCCTCAAGCACTGCGAGCTGCATCATGTACGGCTTCTTTCCTCTGTAGCTTGACGAGATCCGATTGACCAATCTCATGTTCACTTTCATTCGTTCAGAAGCCTCCAAATCGCCAAAGCTGCTATGACTGACCCGGTGCTAATACCACTCCATGGCTCACGCACTGCAAAATTTAGTGCTTGTCGTCTGAGACATTGCCAAGAACTAACTTAGGCCATAAACTCCCAAGCTAACAGTAGATGACTCTCCTAGGGCCGGAGCAAACGGATAACTTTCCAAACCACTACTCACTAGTGGGAAGAATACTAGCCAAAATTTGCCTCGCCTCACTAGATGCGCGAGATTGAGACCAGTAGACTAGTCCAGGCCCATTTTGGAGACAAAACCACTTATTATTGATCGGAGACCTGAGCAATAATCGGACGCTGGAGATGCGCTGGATTAAGCTTCACTAACGCACCGTTGGGATTAGCTTCTCTTGGCTTGCCAGTAGTCTTGTTTTCCGGGCCAATCTTCATCCTTCATCTTTCTTTTTCATTGTCTCGACAATCCTAAGGGCCTTGGCTATCCAGGCTTGTGTGTACAGCAACGGCCAGAGCTTGTCTGGTGCCCTAGTTTCTACTACTTATGGTCTCTTAGGACCGTACTAACAGACATAGTCTTCGAGACTGCTGGCACCGGCGCCGAATGTAACCCCGTTGAGTGCTGCCTTTTCCTAATTCGATGCTAATTTCCGCTCAATGTTGCTTGTAAAAGTTCACCGGATACTCGGCCTCTCAGTTGCACGGTAACCTACATTGCTCTTCTGTCAAATGGTGACTCGATCAATTCCGTTCCTGAAACGCCGAGGCCATAATTTACAACTGCCACCAGTAAAAAGCTCGTTCTCATATCAGGTGCTGTTGAACATCTGCTGCCTGATCAACTCGACTAGCTAGAAACCCTTTTTAGCTCAGGAGCTCTGTATGTCAACAGATGCCAGCTTTGCCGATTACCCGGAGAGACTGAAAAGACCAGAGCTTGGATAACACCAGCTCGGATATTTGTGCTGGGAGTAGATACTCAATAGTTTTGCAGAGATTCCTACATCCACTCTACTAGCTTGTCCTTGTCGAGCGACTCCAGACCCTTGTAAACCTCGGACCTCAACTGGCAACAGGCGATGACAGGGATTGGGGCTATAGGTGAAGTCCGAATGTGTAGATGGGGTCATCTATGATAAGTAATGGCATGCTGGTACAAGATTCTGTTACGTCTTTAGTATTCTTTAGTCTTAGAATGTCGCAACACATTGTGACACTATAAGAAGGTGGCTCTTGCCATGGATGTCCGAGCGAGCGAATATTGTTTTAGCAAAAGGGCACTTCCTGGCCTGTGTCATTCTCTTACCCCTGCAGGCCATTGGCCATCACCTTCATTTCAGACCTTCGTTATCAATCTTCCTTTGTTGTCATTTGTGTTTCGCCTAAGCAGCAATGTTTGGGTTTCTCGTAAAAGCTGCGCTTGTAGGGCTTGTCTTGGGGTCTCGCTCCCATTTGCACCATGCCCACCTCCATCAGCGTCAAACAAACTCTTCCATACATCATGCATATACGGGCCTTTCTGTAACGCCCGAGGTGGCCGATCCCAGCGGACAGCTGAATTAGACGTTTCTTCGAACTACGCCGAAGATGATGCTTTTGGACTTAAAAGGTCTCGACACCAAAGAAGAGTAAGGGGGTCTTCGCGCATTTCATGGTAGGCATCGAATCTATCGTATTCATGGTCGTATGCAGCTCTAACAAAGCTCAGGTTGAAAATGCCCGTGGTTGGAACGAATTAGAATGGGCGTTCCATATGGCAGTGGCCCAAGAGGCACACCTGGATGCATTTGCACTGAACTTTGCCGCGTCTCTCAAAGATCTAAAGCCACTAAAGTCAGCTTTTGCAGTGGCAGAATTAAGAGGATTTCAACTCTTTCTCTCTTTTGACTATGCGGGTGCTGGCTGGCCCCTTTGACAAAGCCACTGTGATTGCAATCATTAACGAGTTCAAGTCGTCGTCTGCGTATTATACCTACCAAGAAAAACCGTTTGTGTCGACTTTCGAGGGTCCTGGGAACGCAGCGGACTGGAAAGACATCAAATCAGAGACTGGATGCTTCTTCATTCCCTCGTGGTCCTCCCTTGGGGCTAAGGATGCTCTGAAGCTGGGCACCCCAGATGGGCTCTTCAGTTGGGCAGCCTGGCCGTGGGGCAATCAAGACATGGATACGTACGTTGATGCATCCTACCTCGACTATCTGGAACAGGCTGGAGGAAAGGAGTATATGATGCCAGTCTCCCCATGGTTCTACACGAACCTTCCAGGATATGAAAAGAATTGGTTATGGCGAGGTAATGTCTACCGGAGAACAAAAGAAACAGAGGGATGAGCGGTGATGCTAATCAATAAATATCTAGGAGATGACCTCTGGCGAGACCGCTGGGAAGAGGTTATGGTGGTGCAACCCGATTTCGTCCAGATCATTAGCTGGAACGATTATGGGGAATCCCATTACATCGGGCCCCTGTACAACATTGATAAATATGAGGCGTTTAGTGTGGGCCAGGCGCCCTTCAACTATGCACACGGCATGCCACACGATGGCTGGCGTCTCTTCTTGCCCTACTACATCGATACCTATAAGAATGGGAAGGCATCTATCACGAAAGAAGGAGTGGTGGGCTGGTACCGCCCAAATCCTACTGCAGCATGCAACGATGGCGGTACCACAGCCAACACAGCCAGTCAATTGCAATTTGAGTTTCGGCCTGCAGAGGTTGTCCAGGATAAGATCTTCTATTCAGCACTGCTGACCTCCTTCGCCACTGTCACCGTCACTGTCGGGGGCGTGTCTATTCCTGCTACCTGGCAGGATATCCCTGACGGAGGCGTGGGTGTGTACCACGGCAGCGTTGGGTATGGTACTTTCTATGGCGATGTGAAGATCTCCATCTCTCGCGCAGGAAGTACCATTGCCGAATTCAGCAGTGCTGCTATTACCACGAGCTGCACTGACGGCTACGCCAACTGGAATGCCGTTGTTGGCAGCGCAGAGGGCCCCAGCATCTCCGCCGTCTCCCCCAAGCTTGCTATCGACGAGCAGGCCTGCATTGAGGGCACAGCACCAGGCAACTTCCAGGGGCTGTGCAAGTTTACCTGTCAGTATGGCTACTGCCCCATTGGAGCCTGCGTGTGTACCAAAATGGGTGCGCCCAGAGTCAAACCCAAGGCCACAGGCATCAAGGGATATCCTATTGCTGGTGAAGGATCCAGTTACATTGGTCTCTGCAGCTTCGCTTGTAACTACGGATACTGTCCACCTGAAGCCTGTGGCCCGGTGGAGGTACCCCTCACGAAGCCGACGGTCTCGCCTTTCCTGCCGTCCGCATGCACGGCAGGCACCGGCCAGGGCGACCTGGCGGGGCTTTGCTCGTACGCGTGCAACTACGGCTTCTGCCCCATCCACGCGTGCACCTGCACAGGCACTGGCGCTCTCCACCAGCCCCCTGCGGCCAACAGCACCTTCACCGCATTCTACCAAGGCGACGGCGACGACGCCGGCCTGTGCAAATTTGCCTGTCAGCGCGGCTACTGCCCCGATGCCTGCGCCAGTACAGAAGGCGAAGTTCTGTCCTGCGACGACGACGACGACGACGACGACAACCCCGACTGCGCGTTAGAAGACACCCCGGACCCCTGCGATCTCAGTCTTTACTTCTCATCGTGGGAAGCTCTCCAGGCAGCCACAGACATCCCCGAGCTCTGCATGCCCATGTACGCCATGCAGGTTCTGATGGACACGCTCAACACCGCCCTGCAGAACTACACGGACGTCAACAACGGCTACGACGAAAAGTTCGGCTACTACGTCAAATATCTCCGCGACATGGTGCCAGAGGCCATCAATAAGGTCATCGCAGATAACGGTAAATACGTCCAATGCTCTCAGGCGATCAAGGGGGGGTGGTCTAAACCCAGATCATGCTTTATCCCGCTTGTTAGCGACGCATGGACCGTCAAGTACACCTTCGTCGACGAGCAAGGATTCTACGACGAATTGCAATCCAAATACGGCATCCAGCGGGACTGGGTGGAGGTTTCTGACGTCGTCAATGAAGACAAACTCTGCACCCCAAACCCCCGCAGCGGCGGTATCGTCTGCCACAGTATCAAACAGGTAAACCAAAATATCCCCCACGCCAAGGCCGACTTCACTATTTCCAACCCCAAAGACTCAATTGCAAATGCGTTGCCCCGGTTCCAAGCTCTCCAGCGCGACGTTGTGTTGACATGGGCCGATCTCTCCTTCTTCCTCTGGGACGGAGACGAAGCAGACGCAGTGGAGGCCCTTTCCACTCCGGTCTTCATGCTCCTCCAGGCCGTCGAAAGCATGGCGACGGTGAAGGAAATCGGCGAGCAGGAGAAAGAAAAGGAGGAAGAAGAGAAAAGAAACCTCATCATCATGATCATCTCCGCGGTCCTGCT